TTAAAAGAAATAATCCAACAGAGAATAGAGAACAGAGACTTTAATTCCTCCCAGTTAACCAAACTGGAACAAATCCAAAGCAAAACTATATCCTCCCAGTTCTATTTCAGATCACAACCAACAGAACTTATTTCACACGGATTAAACATGTAGAGTCTCTGACTGCAGCTGCATCCAGCAGGTTCTTCATGCAGCAGCTGCACAGGATGTGGCTCCAAGTTTTTAACCCAAATTCACAGAAAAGCAACAACAGAAACACTGGGATCAATAAAAATGATAAGGTCGTCTCCAAAATGAACACGATGCTCTTCTTAAAGAGACAAAAACAAAACATCTCCTGAGCTCAGAGGTTCTCAAACATGTGGAATGAGAGGAAATTATTTCCTGTTCAGGTCCATGAAAACGTCCATGAAACCAGTCTGCTCTGGTTTCTAAAAGCTTCCCAGTCCTGGTTCTGATCCAATCAGCTTCCTGAACGTGAGAAAACTTCAGCCCATCAGAGGAACTAAGATCACCGTCTGGTTCACAGCAGGTCCACGGGCCTGCAGGTAGTCACCCTGGTTCTGTTTGGACCCAGACGGATCTAAACCACGCCTGGAACGCTTCACAGTGGTGGGATTGTTAACGGCCGGTTTAAAAGGTTCTCTGAACTCAATGACCCGACATCATTAGGGCTGGATCAGGAAATGCAGGGAAACATGAGCAAATCATCATTTACAATTTAAACACAGATCAATAATGATCTTTCTCTGCAGGTGGAGGAGCTGATAAGCAGCCGGCAGAGCAGGTTCCACTGCAGGCCCAGGTCCAAACAGAGAAAAGGTTCGTTCCATTTCAGACGCCATCTTTAATGTGAAAATATAGGAGGAAAGCAGGAAGCAAGAGGAAATCTCTCCCTGCCTCCTCCCCGCCTACAGTCCCTTCATCAGCAGGACCAAAGGGGGCCGACTGACCTGAAGCTTTGGGGGACACGTGTTAGTGAGGGGCTGAGGGGGGAGGTGGGGGAGGAGGAGGAGGAGGGGGGAAATCAACGTAGGGAAGAGAGTTTGGAGGCCAGAAAGAAGGAGAGAAGGAAGGGTTGAAAAAAGCTGGAGGAGGGAGAGGAGGAGGGGGGTAGAGAGGGAAGCCTTGGGGGGAGAAGGGGTAGTGAGGGGGAGGCAGGTATGAAGGGGGGGGCTCTGTGTGTCCAGGTGGATGGTGGTGTTGTGCGTAGGGGGGCGGGGCGTTTCTTGGCTGCTGATGGCGATGGCGATTGCCTGGTGGTCTAGGCTGGAAGCTGCGGCGGTCCGATCCCTGATGCTGAGCGCCTTTATCTGGACAGAAAGAAACATGGAGGCCCAAAGGTCAGCCTAAAGGTCAGCCTAAATGTGGGCCCAAAGTTCAGCCTGAAGATAGGCCCCAAGGTCAGCCTAAAGGTCAGTCTGAAGGTGGGCCCAAAGGTCAGCCTAAAGGTCAGCCTAAAGGTCAGCCTAAAGGTCAGC